TGCTCCCCTCACTGAAAGGTGGGATCTGATTCCTCTCCCTGTGTATCCAGGCTGGGCCTGAGACTGGCCTTTACCAATAGAATGTAGTGGAAGTAACACTGGGTAGCTTCCAAGGCTGGGCCTTTAGAGACTGCAGCTTCTGCCTTCGCCTCTCGGAGCCCAGCCACCCTGTGAGGAGGCCTCACTAGCCACATGAAGAGGGGCATATGGAGAACTGAAGCCTGTGGCAAGAATGCCAACAGAGCTCCCAGGTGGTCCCAGTACCAAATGTGAGCTGCCCCAGAGCCCCAGTCAGTACCAAGTGATACAAACAAATCCACAGAATCATGGGAAGTAGTAAATTGTCATTTTAAATCACTGAATTTTGGGGGTGGTTTGTTAAAACAGTAATTGATAACTGAAACAACTGCACAGAAAAACAGTATTATATCATGCTTACTCTGTGCTAGGCAGCTATAATTTTAAAATACATATTAATTCACATAACCTTTATATTAATCTGATGCAGTAAGTACTATGATTATATATCATTATCCCCACTTTACAGATGAGGAACCTGAGATGCGAGTGAGCAAGCAATGGGGCTGGGATTTGCACCTGGGCGGCCCATTAGGATCCATGCTCCAAAACATCTATGCTCAAAACTATCATATCCCACTGCCTCTCTGCTGCTTCCTCTCATTTAAAATAACATGAACAACTTTAATGTCAATAAATATTAACCTACAACATGATACTTCATGGTACATGTTGAAATCTTAATCCTCTTAGGACCCTTTAAACCATCTTGGGCGCGTTGTTGAGCTTGAAGAGGCTTCTTCTCTTCAGTCTCCTCCCCTTCATTCTTCATTCATTGAGCAAATGTATTATACTCCTACTATGTGCCAGGCCCTGGGCTTAGCTGAATATTCAGAGACTTGCCTGTGTCTCCAGTAGTGGAAAAGAACAAGCACTTAGGAGCTGAATGGCTCCTCTTTCTCTTTGTGATTTGTTAGCACTTCGCTGTTTGCCAAGCTGTGGGACTAGTTTATCTTGTTCTGAACTTTATTGCCCTGGTCACGATTTGCAAGGCCCCTCTCTATAGTGATTTTAACCTTCCTGGCACCATTCTTAGAAGTTTGTGTCTTTCTATTCCTTTCTTAGCTTCCAGGTTCCTCCTTCCAGCTCTTGCAGCCAGCATGGGCAAGAGCCAACATCAAAGTTTCATCCATTGAGGATACTCTATCATACTCTGTACTTTATCTTGCCTGATACAGTTGTGGGGTATCAGGCAAAATAAAGCACACAGAGTCTCTCTGCATGATGGAGACCATTTTACAGCATGAGGAGATGTTTTCTGCCCTGGCTGTGTACTGAAATCCTCCATGGAGCCTGAAATGTGAGTGTAGGTGTTGGGGGTGGGTTGATGGCTGTATGCTTTGGTTTAAGTTCCGCCAGTGATTTTGATGCACATTCAAATGTGGAAACCATTGACAAAGTACAAAAGACAAACAGAAGAAGATAAATAAATTACTCTGTGAGCTAAAGACACAGGCACATTTTAAGCTCTCTTTAGAGTGTATAACTAAGGGCAAACTTAGAGAATAATTAAATTGCCTATCTTTTTCAAGGTACCAAAAACCCTAATGTCAAGTCCCTTTTTTCTTCCTGGAAAAGATGTTTGTGACTTCAATTACATTACTTTTCTTATCTAACAATCTAAAGACACACTGAAGATTTCACACACACACACACACACACACACACACACACACACACACTTCATGAGTTACCTCTGCCTGCTTGCATGCTGAAGTCAGATTCTGAGAAATGTCTTGTATTCTTTAACCTCTGAGTAATCACTCTGGCCCTGGTCTGCTCTTTATTATCCAGGAAAACAATCTGATCAGGCCTTGGATGATGGATTCATAGCAGCCCAAATCTCCAGAGTGCTGTATAAACCAGACTATTAATTTATTCTGTGGGGATATTCTGTGAGAGTTCTAGTTCTCCTTGTTAATAATTGAGTAGCCTTGAGCAAGTTGCTTAATCTCTCTGGGTCTCTAACATGATGATGATCACTGAGCATCACCCATTACAAAGTATTTCCTTCTTTGTGGTGGCTCTCTTTAAAATGCCACTTGAGTGTTCTCAGAAAGTTGCTTCGGTGGGCATAACATTAAAGAAAATGGATAAGAATGAGAACAATGAATTTAAGAAACATTTCATTCAGTCCATGGGACATCAGAGTGAACAGCTGTGACTTTTGTCTGCTCAGCACCTCTTCCACTCTTCAGTGGACAGAAGTTCCTTTCATGGGGGAACAGCTCCTTTTTTCTTTCACGTGGTTGTGGGTGGCTGGTGATTAAAGGACCTTGGTCTCCTCCTCTTGGGCCACAGGAGTAGGCATGAGACCCTGACTGAATCATAATAAGAACCTACTCACCCGGCCACAGTGATGGATCTGGGAATTCATCCTAGGATCAATCTGGGGAGAGAGAGACAGAGAGAGAGAGAGAGATGGAGAGAGAGAGAGAGAGAGAGAGAGAGAGAGAGAGAGAGAGAGAGAGGAAAGAGAAAGAAAAGAAAGAAAGAAAAAGAGAAGGAAGGAAAGAAAGAAGGAAGGAAGGAAACCAGGAATTTTTCTAAATTAAGCTTATAGGGAAAAGTATCTTTCTTTTCTGGTCAAGGAGGTTTATCAGTGTGACCCTATGTGCCACATGAGAAGGCTGGGAGGACAAGGCCACCAGCCAGAGGGAAGAAGAAATGAGGCAGCAAGAGACAGAGATGGAAACAAGGGTCTGTGGTGTCGAGTTCCAGGTCTGACTCTCCTGGCGTCATCTGGCAATTATTCTTTTAATTCCTCAAGCTACCCCAGGGTTTTCCCAAAAAGACACTCTCTCTTTTTTTTCTCACTTAGGCCAGTTTGTTTTAGAATTTCTACCACTTGCAACTCTGTCTTGATGAACAGAAACACTCTGAAAGTTTTCCTTTCAGCTATACTTAAAAAAAAAAATTTGCCCCAAATTTGAGGCTCTATGCCCTCTTATCACCTGGCCCTTGCCAGCAGCCAGACTTGTGTTGCTTTCTGCAAGCTGCACCTTGTTCACCCATGCCAGGCCAAGCAGTGACTCTCCTGTGATTCTTCACCTCCCCTTTTCAGATCTTCACTTCCCCACTTCCTGCCCCCTCCCCATGTTTTGTAAGATCTCATTTTTGTAATAAATACCTTAGTCCATAATACTCAGTGGTTCTGCTCCCATGGTTCAGCCCTGACAAATGCAATGCTCTTGGGTATTGGGTGGGCCCTGACAAAGAAACTTCCTCCTCCTTCTCCTTTTTTTAGTCAGTGTTTCACTCTTTTCACCCAGGCTGGAGTGAGCATGATCTGGCTCACTACAACTTCCGCCTCCTGGGTTTAAGTGATTCTCCTGCTTCAGCCTCCCCAGTAGCTAGGATTACAGGTGTGTATCACCATGCTTGGCTAATTTTTTTGTATTTTTAGTAGAGAAGGGGTTTCACTATACATGTTAGCCATGCCGATCTCGAACTCCTGACCTCAGGTGATCTGCCCGCCTTGGCCTCCCAAAGTGCTGGGATTACAGGCTTGAACAACCGTTTCCGGCCAAAGCTTCCTGCTTCCATTCTTTGCTTCCTGCCCACACCGCCTCCATCTCTCCATCCGCCCCTCCTCTCCGGTTACCACATCGCCATCTTTCCTCATCCTCTCCCTGCATCAGCGGGAAGGTCTGATGCAGCCCCTGGTCCCTTTAACCACTGTGCTATTTGCAGTCCCAAGCCACTCTTCTCTTTGACCTCTGTCTGGTTCACTTTTGCACTATTTCTTGCGCCTCATTCCCAGTCACAAGTCTGTGTCTGGCAGGCAGCCTGAAAATTTAACACGGGCTGGCACCCAGCAAAGGCAAATGCCGAGATGCCCTGCCCAGAGCTTCTCACTCATTATTTCCAATTAGAAAATGTCACTAGGGAAGAAAACAAATACCCTCAAAGATAACTCAGTGGGGACTGTGTGTTTGTTGCCTGGAATAGATGCCAAATAAATATTTTATCAAAGGAACTTACATAGTAAAAGCTATTTGAGTTGAAAATTATCCAGGAATACTTTCAAAATGAACATGGTGGGTTTTTTTGTTGTGTTTTGTTTTGTTTTTGTAGCATGCATGGATTTGAAATTTCCCCTGGGAGCTGGCTCTGTTTTTGATGAGCTCAAGGTCTCTTCCAACTCTGTGATGTTGGCTCAAAGGCCAGAGCTTCTGATCCCAGCCCAGCCATTGCTCAATGTGAGTCAGCTGACCTCTCTAGACTTTGCCTAGTCTAACTGGATCAATGAAATAAACAGAGAGAAAAAAAAATCAAAATCATTGTATCGTAGGTTTGGAAGCAACCTTACAGGTTATCCCTAATTAAGGAAGCTGGCTGTTGTGTGTCTCCATCCAGCCCCTCTGGCTTCACTTGACCCACCACTTAGCTGGGACCCCATAGGCATACAGTATTGTCTCCTCTCTGAAGGCAGATGCTGGGTATGGTGACTCAGCCTCTGTCCAAGAGTTGGGACAAGTGTCTAACAGCAGAATTTTCTTCATGTAGAATTAGACACCCTAAATCTTAAAAGGGCATTGTTACCAGGTTGACATGGGACATGAATAGCAAAATATTTACCAGTTTTTTAGTAAGAAGGAAATTGAAAGTGGGTATCAAATCATATATCACATCAGATCATATATCAATATATAGTTGGGTAAATTTATGATTAAACAATGTAATTATCTTCTAGTCCTGCAGATTTATTCTTACCTCCTTCTTTCATTATCTACATACATTCCTCAATTGTGTAAGCCTTCTGTTCATATGGGCTGGGTGGATTCTACCAGGCCATGGAAATCAAGGCCAGGTGTCCTTGACCAGGCAAGCTGAGTGAGCAGCAGCCCTTACCAGAGGTTGGTTTGACAAAGTTTACTTGGTTCTGCTGCCTATCACACTTTTCTCACATCTGTCCTCAGAACCTCTTGAAGCACAGGGGCAGCCCAGAGGAGCCCTGACTGCAGCCCAGAGAGAAAAATGACTTGCTCCAGTCTGTGACGAAGCTGGTACCTGAAGCCGAGATCCCTGACTCCTGTTTGTACTTTTCAATGTTTCTTTCATATACGTATGATGTATTTTTACCTATGGCTAGTGCTGCTTTCAAGAGGAGTGGAGGCCTTAGCCACCCCCTCTTAATCTCCGTCAGCATTCCCATGCCCCCCAACACACACACCTCCTTCTTTGTCGTGAGCATCTGGTGTTTTCTCAGTTCAGGTAAGGTCCCGTGAAAACACAACAATCCAGGTCCCCAAGCCTGCCCGTTCCTAAGTAAATGAAGCCCCTGTGTCCTTCCTAGGTGGAAATTCTGAGGTCATCTGCACCTGTGCTTATCTCTTCCGTGAGACTATCCACTCCCTCCAAAGGGCAGGAAATAAACCTCTTTCTCTTTGACACCCCCAAAAGATTAATGAGGGCTCTGCACACTTGCAGTGAATATTTGTTACTGTGCCTGCTGCTGCAGTGACCAGCTATGTTTGGTCCCAATTAAGAAGTCTTGTGCTTGTGTGTTTGGAAGTAGGCATTCCTTGCGCTTCATCTCTGATGTAGGCAAGTAGTCAAAAGAGAAGGTGGATTTTAATTTTTAATGTCTCATGTCACTTTCCCACTGTATATGTTACGGAATCCCATCTTAGACTGTGGGTTCCTCAAGCAAAGCAATCACATATCAAGCATGTAGTTGCTCCCCAGTAAGTGGTTGCCAGGTGAACGACTGAGCATCTGAACACTGCTCCTGATAGCACCTAATAAAAGGGAACACACTTCATCTGAAAAGGGGAGTCGGCAGTCAGGCATACTGTCACTTAACAGGGAGTCATCACATGATGCTTTTTGCTGCAGAAGGAGATAAAACAAATGGATCTGCCACACAATGTAAAACACGAGGGCAATCATCACACACTTCCATGCCTTCTGCCTGTCACTTGTTAGTGACTTAAAGATACACTTACAAGAAAGGATAGTACATACTTCAGAACTGCAGTGGGTTATCTGCTCAGCTGCTCTTCTCTGGGGCCAGTACAACCTCCCCCACCCTTCTGATGCACACACCCCTAGATAGTTCCAGGTGGCCATCATTTATGCTGTAACCTGCCCAGATTCCTCTCCCAGGAATTTGGAATTTTGGACACAGAGGCACAAAGAAAGGGGGCTGTCTGGGGAGGTGGGCCCATTATGGTAGCCTCCTGGAGGGAAGCCCACCACCACCTACTGCTGCAGACAAAGATCAGCAACAGCAATTGCCCATTCTGGGCACAACACAAACAAACACAACATAGAAATAGACTCTAGTAAAACACACACACACACACACACACACACACACACACACACACAGATGGAATCAGAAAACTTGCTAGTCCTCATGAATAAAGATATAGAATTTAGACGTGAGTTAAATATTTTTTCTCCATTGCTCTCCGTACTTCTGTGGTATCCGCATGGCTTGTATTTTACTTAATATTTTCAACATTTCTAGAAACCCATGAGTGGACCCATGGAGGGCAAGAATGTGCCTTTTTCACCTTTGTACATCTCACTGGCCTAGTCCACCCCTCACCTCCACAGGCATTCGATGGACACCAATGTAGCTGAATTAAGTTTGATTGACTAGGACAAAAATAATGAATTTGCATGTTTCTAGGGTAAACAATATTAAAACTATTAAACTCAAATTTAATTATTTATCCTTCTTCACATCCAGATATTATTTAGGAACCAGGCAGCCATTAGATAAGTGATTGTGCTTTTTAAAAAAGGGGGGAAACAAAGATGAGAGGGAAGTTCCTGTGGTATATTTCCCATTTCTTCCTTGTCCCAACTTCTGTCCCTTGCCTCTCTTTAGTGCCCTTTCTCTGCCCTTAGCCTTCCTCACTACCTCAAATCCCCCACTCCAGGGCTGTGTTCTGTCTGGGGCCCCACGGCAGACATCATGAGTTGTGTCTTACTATGGTAGGACAGAGCACAGAGGGAAACTGGGCGCTGCCATTCTGGAAGCATCACCAAGCAGACTCTTACCAGAGCCCAGCTGCCATTCTGAGCATTAGAACCAAAGGGCATGGCTGAGGAAAGAGCCACAAACCAACAGGCATCAGAAACGGGTCCCCAAGACGGTCCCCAAGATGGTGAGCTTGGAGAACAACAAGCAACCCTAAGGAGTCCTTTGGCCATTGTTTAGGGCTGAGTAGCCTCCTTGTCAGAAGGGCTTTTTATTTTTTTTTTTAATTTAATTTTTCTTTTTTTTTATTTTTTTGTGAGACAGAGTCTCACTCTGTCACCAGGCGCCAGGCTGGAGTGCAGTGGTATGATCTCAGCTCACTGCAACCCCTGCCTCCCTGGTTCAAGCAAGTCTCCTGCCTCAGCCTCCTCAGGAGCTGGGACTACAGGTGCTCACCACCACGCTTGGCTAATTTTTTGTATTTTTAGTGGAGACCGGGTTTCGCCATGTTGGCCAGGCTGGTCTCAAACTCCTGACCTTAAGTGATCCACCCGCCTTGGCCTCCCAAAGTGCTGGGATTAAAGGCATGAGCCACCACACCCAACTGGAAGGGGCTTTTTATAGTGATTTACTGATCACTGAATTTGCCACCTAAAAACATTCCAGAGGTATGGGTGATGATTTTGGTGAGATGGGGAGAGGTTCTGAGTCAAGAGCAGCAGTCTTATGCTCAGAGCAGTCAGGACTGTCACTGTAGTGCCAGGTGTCACCCAGCTGTTCCTTCCTGTCCTGCCCTCCTGGCTGCCTTACCCCAGAAGGCAGCTGTGGGGTGTTGCCTGAGATGTGGCCATGCATGCAATTGAAGACCATGGACATTCAAATGCCTTCCCTGCTGGCAGCTCAGAAAGTGCTGGACAAAGGAGAGGGAGATGTTACCAGACACATTTTTTAGAAATCTGTAAACCTGTATTTGCTTACATGCTACACTGAATATTGTATACAATGAAGGGGGCCTTGCACTTTGAGGGTCTTCCATTCACGTTTCAGAATGTTAGTGACAAGAAAATGTATTCTTATATTCTCTTCTCTTTCCATGCCTATAATATATCTTAGAAAGTAAGCAATTGAGGTAGGTGTTTTAATATTACAGACCTATTAAAAATAATTGAAATATATCTTTTGATTATTTTCTTTTGTTTAATTTTTTTTCTTTTTTTTTTGAGACACGGTCTTGCTCTTTGACCCAGACTGGAGTGCTCACTGCAACCTTGATCTCCTGGGCTCAAGCAATCCTCCTGCCTTAGCCTCCTAAGCATCTGGGATTACAGGAGTTCACCACCACATCTGGCTAATTTTTCTTTTCTTTCTTTTTTTTGTAGAGATAGGACCTCAATATATTGCTCAGGCCGGTCTCATACTCCTAGGCTCAAGAGATTTCCCTTCCTTGGCCTCCTAAAGTTCTGAGATTATAGGCACGAACCACTGCACCTGGCCTATTTTCTTGACGTAAGTAATACATGTACCCTTTAGAAAGAAGAACCCTATTGATATTTCTATAGACATTCTTACATATGTGCCTTTACATGAAAATATATAGTTTTAAAAATAGATTATATCATAACCATAATGTTTTGAAACTTTACTCAAAAATATATCATGAATATAGTTCAATGACAGTCAACAGATGTACGTTATCATCATCAATCTTAATATTACATAGTTTTCTATTTTATGGAGTTAGTATAATTTGGTCAATTTCCATTGTAAGACTATAGATTTTTTCTAATTTTTGTCTAAATAAACCACATTATATGTATATACATACATATATATATATATATATATATATATATTTTTTTTTTTTTTTTTTTTTTTTTTTTTTTTGAGACGGAAGTTTGCTTTGTTGCCCAGGATAGAGTGCAGTGGCGCGATCTCAGCTCATTGCAAACTCCACCTCCCAGATTCAAGCAATTCTCCTGCTTCAGCCTCCCAAGTAACTGGGATTACAGGAGCGTGCCACCAGGCCTGGCTAATTTTTTTTTTTTTTTTTTTCAGACAGAGTCTTGCTCTGTCGCCAGGCACCAGGCTAGAGTGCAGTGGCGCGATCCCAGCTCACTGCAATCTCCACCTCCTGGGTTCAAGCAATTCTCCTGCCGCAGCCTCCGAAGTAGCTGGGACTACAGGCGTGCACCACCATGCCCAGCTAATTTTTGTATTTTTTTTTTTTTTTAGTAGAGATGGGGTTTCACCATGTTGGCCAGGCTGGTCTCGATCTCTTGACCTCCTGATCCGCCTGCCTCAGTCTCCCAAAGTGCTGGAATTATAGGCATGAGCCACCTTGCCTGGCCAAATTTTTATATTTTTGATAGAGACAGGATTTCACCATGTTGGCCAGACTGGTCTCGATCGCTTGACCTTGTGATTTGCCTGCGTTGGCCTCCCAAAGTGCTGGGATTACAGGCGTGAGCCACCATGCCTGGTCGATAAATATATTTTTATAATACTTCTGTTTTCTTGTCTGATCACTGTTTTAGGAAAATTTCTTAGAAGTATAATCTTTACATGATTTTTAACTCATAGCCACTCTTTCATCTAGAAAAACTCTACCAATTTATACTTCATCCCATCCCCAACAGGAATGGTATAAAAGCCTATTTAAAATAATTTAAAATTTGTTTTTATTAAATATTAAATACATAAAATATTTCTAATGTGAAGGACATAAAGAATACTCAAACATCTGTGAACCCATCATCTAGCTTAAGAGCTAGAATATTACTAGTCTTGTAGAAGCCCCACTGTGCCCTCTGACCCCATCCCTGTACTCTTCCTCCCCAGAAGAATCCACGTTCCTAAACTGTGTCTCTACCAGTTCCTTGCTTTTAGTTAGTTTCACCACATTTGCTTGTATCCTTTAACAATACGTGCCTTTATTCTGCATATTTTTCCTTTATATAAATTAAATTTTGTATGTATTCTTTTATAACTTGCTTCTAAAAACTGTAAATGAAGTATGTCACACATACAGAGAAGTGCATGTATCTTAAGTGTTCAACTTGGTGGATTTTCCAAGTGAGCACACACCTGGATCAAGACTCAAAACATTATTAGCACCCCAGAAACCCTCTTGACTCCCTCCAAGTTACTGTCTCTGAAAGGAACCACTATTCTGACTTCTAACACCGTACAATTTGTTTAAATGGAATTAGGGTGACTGACTTCACACATTCAACTTTATGTTCATGCCTCTTGCTACATATAGATACAATTCACTCATTTTTACCACTGTATAGTGCCCTATTATACAAATATGTAATTTATATATCTACTTATTTATCAATGGATATTTGGGTTTCTTCCAGCATTTACTCTTATAAACAGGGGTTTTCTAAGCATTCTCTTACATGTCTTCTTAAGCCCAGATGCAAAGGTTTCTTTAGGAGAAACTAGGGATGGAATTGCAGAGTTATAGAAAATAATTATTGTTCGCTTTAGAAGTAATTTCCAGCATGAGCTCAGCACTTACCAGTAAAAAAAAAAAAAAAAAAAGGCCAATCTAATAGGTAAAATTAAATTCATTGCTTAAATTTGCATTTTAAAATTATATTTATTTCATTATTACTTTTTTTTTTTTTGAGAAAATGTCATGCTCTGTTGCCTGTGTAGTGCAGTGGTTATTCACAGGTGATTTTTGTGCATTACAGCTTTTAACACTTGGGCTTAAGCAATTCCTCCCATCTCAGCCTCCTGAGTAGCTGGGACCACTGGCAGGCCCACTGCACATAACTACATCATTACTTTTTTTTTTTTTCTGTGCTGGTTACTGGTCTTTTTCTTAATGATTTGTAAATACTTTTATATATTAAAGCTATTATTCTGACATCTATTATGAATGCTGCAAATATATTCCCTATAATTTTTCTATCTTGTAGTTTGACTTATCATGCTTTTTGCCATTTAAAGTTTTATTTCTTTCCCCTGGGATGTGCAAACTCCAGAAAAAAATGGGGCCAGTGCTCCCCCATTTCAAGTTTTAAATTAAAATTTTTGTGCAATTAGTGCCTTCACTCTTTTTTTCTTACAGGCTCTGCTCTTTGTGCTGTTGGAAGCAGTTTTAAACATGCTTTTCTACTACAGGATGATGCATTTGTTAAGGTGACTTTTTATTTTTCATATTCATAGAGCAACTGGTTTTCCCAAGTTACTGTCCAGAGATAGCAATGGCTGGGTCAGGGGGTGACCAGATGACATTTCTGCTAGGCAGATTTTAGAAGCAAAAGTGATGATGCAGCTCCCATTATCTGAAGATCTGTTTTCATCATACAGAGAATGAGAAGTGAATTGAGTTGTGTGTTAAGGCCAGTTCTTTGCTTATTATGCAAAGGATGTGAAAATAATGGTCCTTTCTTCCTAGAACCCAGCAGGTAGGCTGGGCTCATTACAACAGGGAAATTTCGCCAAAGCAAGAACACCTGAGGGACAAAACTGGTCTGCCGGACCAACCAAATGAACTCTCCAGCAATTGCCTGGCATGGGCTCCCCTCCCACAGGGGTTGCTGATGGCTCAGGCTTTTATAATTCTTGAGCCCTGTTCCAAGGAGCTTTTGTGGTTTAAATCAATATGCTTCTGGGAATAAGTGCCCTTATTATTTCCTCGTTCACATTATTTGCTGTGCTCTTATACTACCCTGACATAATACTCTTTGTGCTGCAGTACAATAACAGTCCTTTCAGGAATCTCTAAGGGCTTTCTAATTAGAACCTACAACCTCACAACAGATGGAGAACATGAAGCCCAGAGACAGGGATGATGAAGCTTCACCTTGGTCACAAAGGAGCCAAGCTTCAGTGTCCAGGTTACGTTGCTTATCTAGCAGTGATTGCAGAATTATAAGTCTGCTTCAGTGCATGGCAGGGAATGCTGAATCCTTTGCAATATGGCTTAGGGGCACCTGCTGTTGAGTTGAGGACTGAGAACTAGCCTATGCCATTTCTAGCCACACCCAGGAATTGGCTGGACAATAGCTCTTGTGTTTACAACCAGTTCTCAGTGACAAGGCTCAGACCAGAAACTGCATGAAGGCTAGGTCATTTGAAACCAAATTTTGCATTCGATAGTTAAACTTTCTTGATTGCTTACCATGTGCTAGCCACCATATTGAACACCAGTAAGGCAAAGACGAACCCCCAATCCCTCCCTTTAAATATTTACAGTCTAGAACAGGAGACATATGTAAGCAGAAAGTTATAAAGTTATAAGAAGCCAAGTGCTTTACTAGAGACCAGAACAGAAGGCGAGGGTAGTCCTCAGACCCGGGGCCTTCAGGGTATTCTTCCTGCTTCCTGGGGAGGAGGACTTTTGACTTGGGTAAATCTTAGGACACAGGCTGGAGCTTGCTGGGCAGAGCTGGGGAAGTGCATTGCATGCTGAGAGCCAAGCAGAGAAAGGCCCAGAGATGGGCAATGTACAGGGGTTCAGGGAGCAACGAGAAAGTCAGCATGTCCAAAGTGACCATGGTCATCCCACTATTCTTTCTCTTGTCCGTTGTTACAGCAAAAATCTCTCTTTCTGTGCTCAATATTTTATTTCAGATGTTGAAAAGGCTGAACATTGGTTTTGTCTTTGTCTTGTTATTTTAACCCTCCATTTCTCCTCAGGGCCTTGTGGTATGCCTCTGAGGGGGAAGATCATGTCTTTCCTGAAAAAAAAAAGCACAAAGATGAATATCTCACTGCAGTATGAAGAAACAAGGGCAGTTCAGGGAATTTAGGGCAGGAACCCAGCTGGGCCTTCTTTTATCATCTTTAGAGCAGAAAACATGGCCTTGGAAAGCTTCCAAGGTTACCTGTCACAGGTCCGGCCACCCAGTGGGAAGTCCTGTGGTCCAAAGCTTGTTGCAGAATCCATAGATGAAAAGACATGGGGGCTAGGGGTGTGAAGGGAAAACACAAGCTAACAGATGGCCCACACAAGAGCAGAAGCCTCGGATGCAAGCTTCATAGCTGGGTCTATAATTGGGCTGGACTGCAGTGGTGGGAAACTGAAGGCCACTTCTGGCTTCCTTTTTTTTTTTTTTTTTTTTGAGACGGAGTCTTGCTCTGTTGCCCAGGCTGGAGTGCAGCGGCAGGATCTCAGCTCACTGCAACCTCCGCCTCCCGGGTTCAAGCGATTCTCCTACCTCAGCCTCCTGAGTAGCTGGGATTACAGGCTTCCACCACCACACCTGACTAATTTTTGTATTTTTAGTATAAACTGGGTTTCACCATATTGGCCAGGCTGGTCTCAAACTCCTGACCTCAGATGATCCACCTGCCTCCCAAAGTGCTGAGATTATAGATGTGAGCCACCACACCGAGCCTCTTTGTGTTTCTTTTCCCTGATGTCTTCCTTGCTCACGCCACATTCCACAGGGTCTTCCAGGTTTCATATACCTCCTTGGTCAA